AGGCGGAAAGTCAGTGGCCAGTGACTTTCTGTATGACTATAGACACGTATGCCTGGGTTGCAACAACATACTTTAAAAACCCGTCGGGCGTTTTCGCTCAGGCTCACAACATAAATCGATATGATTCAGCTTTTGTAATACAAATAAATACTCTCCTTGCTACTTTCAGTAAAACATGTGTGTTTCTGTACCGTCTAATTGAAAAGAAGGCTTCCATGCTTGATGTAAGCCTCTGTAGGTGTGTGTAACGGGTCTGTGGGACCCGTTTCATTATTTTTTCTTAAAAAGAAAATTGATTTAATTCTACTTTTTTGCTCTAACTAACTCAATGGGCCTGCTCTCCTGCATGTCTCCCTTCTTGAAAAAGGAGATTTAAAATGATCTCATGGGATTTCACCTGATAAATAAAGGAGTTTAGATTGAATTTTCCTGTGAAAAACCGACCTGTAATGAGCGATGGATTCTAGTGTCACAACAATAGCCCAAAACCAAATGATTGGTGCTGAATGCTAAACAAAGTTCTGGTGGATTTAACACCTCTTACAAAAAAATTAACGTTTGCACTTTTAAACATCATGGCATGCTGTAGCAGGATTGGGTGTAGTTAAAATGTGGATAAAAACATAAAGAATATCAGGTGAAATGTCAATAAGGAATGCGGTTAGAGGGCTCTAACTGCATACAGACGGGCGGAGTTGGATCGCGCATTTCACTTCTTAAATAACTAATGCAACGTATCATTGTCAACACTTACATTTGTGCATTGCTCCCGCCATGGTTTTGAAATGATTCCAGCGGTGTGTCACGCCTATTTTATACCCAACGTTCCCGGAAATGCATCCGCGAAGGACCGTGGAGGACCCATCAGTGTATCCTCGGTTATAGCTCCTCCAGAGAGCTTCCTCGACGCTCGATCCTCGGTCCTCGAAGTGCATAAGAGAATTGAGATGTCCTTCAACATGGCGCGCTGAAATTCATTTCCGGGTCACTACCGGAGGACCGAGGAGTCGAGGAGGGGGATTTGACGAAATGAGAAAGGGCCTTGGTCTTTTTGTTGTTATGTTTGTGATTGTTTTTCCCCTTTTTGTAGTCTTTGAGTTTTTTTGTGTTTTTTATTTTTTATTTTAACAGTGGTCATGAGTCTGCTTAAATGTCCTTAGTAGTTGTTGTATGTTTCTCTGCGGTCATTTAGAATCTTTTCCTGGTTGTTGTTACCATAGAGGTTGTTACATGTCTCTTTGGGTGACATTTTGTTGGTGAAGAACCAGTAGGTTCCTTCAGTAATCCATTTATGATCCCAGCATGGTCACAATGTCAAACGACTATTAAATTAACGCTGGGCATAATAAACACAATGCCGCAGTGTATTGAAAACATTGTATGTTTGAAGAATGTTTTCATTAGCCTTTCTGAACACATGAACACTATGGAGGGATTTATTGGCTGCTCAAAATAGATTTAAAATTGTGCCAAATATTATTATCACGCATATAACTTACTCCATATACTCTATTTACATTATTCCAGCAAAACGGCAATTGGAATTTCACATTCAGCCTTTAATTACTTGTTAAACCATAAATAAAAACAGGTATTTTTAGGAGACAGGAGATTTATTTTCACTTCCGTTTCACACCTTTTTTCAGCAGATTACACAAAGATCTTTAAATTCAAATTGACAAAATGCGATATAATTATTTAGTTGATTCGTATTTTAAAGCAGGAAATTAAAGAAATATCCCTTAGACAAATGTTAAATCCACTAATACGTGTGTAAAAAACAAAAATGAAAGAAGATTCCCAAAATGTACTGAATATTTAGGTCTGGATGGTAAACAGTATGACAGACACTGCAGCCATGTATGTCCCTCAGGTCTGTCACACCCTCCATGGGAGGTGAAATTTGCCTGCAAAGCGTCCGTTGTGGCACAGGTCTTTGGGGCTGAGCACTTTCCTGATCCCCAACATGTTGCCGAGCGTTATCTCCTTGAAGGTCCAGGGATTCTGGTTGTTCTGCTCCATATCAGCATGCTTCTTCTGAAAGGCTGCTAGGCTCGCTCTGCTAAATACCTATAGGAAGTCCACAAAACAAAGAACAACGGGTTGTTTTTAAGAATTTACTGATACACTCCCTTTGGCTTTTTGATACTTCATATGGATCCTCAAGTGTATTTATGCATGAATAATTTAAGCATTAAACAAAGAAAGCAACATTGTGTTTAAATGTTCTTTAAATTATCTCTGTAATCTTTTTAGGAGTCTTTTAATAGATAAAACCCTATATGGACATATCCCTTATCAAGATCTTCATTGAGGTATGATTTATTGCAGACTTGTTGTATTTCTGCATTTGTTTTTAGCAAAGCATACCTAATCGACTGGCAGCTGTTTATATAAATAAAGTATGATTCACCAAAATATGCTTTTGAAAAAAGTGCACAAACAAAGTTAAGGGATATTCTGAAAGTGAATGTAAGAGTGTATGTCTGAAGTTCAGTATATACAGTATCAGTCATCTCACCTCGGCCTTGAAGGGTAGCTTTTGCGCTACTTCAGTCATGATACGCTGAATCTCTCCAAGCTCCACCTTTCCTCCAACTTCCACAATAAAGCGGCCGTAGCGCACAGGTGTCACGTATTGGTCGATGGCTCCCTTGCCCCCGCCCATGCGCATACCCAGACCTTTACGTGTGACAGGCTTATATGGGCCATTGATACGCCAACGGGCAAATGTAGTCTTGGGATCCATCTTGCGATTGATGGTTAGACGGATCATCTCTATGTGACCCCAATGAAGGTAGCCTCCTCCCATGGCCTGAGCATAAGAGAGAGACAGACGAGAGGGAGGTCACTTTTTCATAGTCTAAAAAAAAGTACGTATTATTCTCTTGGCATTAGCATTTTTTTTAAACTTTGCATAAGTATATAGTTACATCATTTTTGTGAAGAAGAAAGCTAAGTAAAAATAAACATTATTTTACGTTGTATAATACGTTGAAATAAGTGCCATTAAGAACCTGCTCATACTGTATACAGTCACATAAGGTTAAATAATTAATTCAAGTAATAAAATACTGCAGGTTACATGATCTTCATATGCTTGAATGCCTTAAGCAGCTGCAGATATCAGCAGTCTCTTCACATTAAATCCACTCACCACAATAGCAAACTCTCCCTTAGTGAAAGCATTGGCTGCCGTCGCTGGGCCTTGGATATCCTTCAGATTCTTCATCTCTTTCTTGGCGTTTTTAAAGTTAGGCATCTTGTTCACAAACTTCAGTTTGCGTCTGTCTGGCAGCACCACATCTTTAGAGGAAAAAACAAGTGAGGAATTATGAACATTTTCATAGAGCATCAAGCATGCATGTCGATGTAAGATTTTAAAAGTCCCAAGACTGGAGCAAGGACAGACATCTACTGTGTGCATTATTGTGTAAATATAACAATGTCCTAATGTAGAAACTAAATGATTACCACTGTGGTCTGGAGGAATGTCATGTGTCTTCAGGCCAGCAGCCAGGACTTTCAGGTGGCCATGTAAAAGACCTGTGGAACAAACAGCAGATTACAGAACTGTCATTTATTACTGCTAATGTGCACTACTGCTCAGTTCACATGTGCTTTGGAAAAAACGTCAAGCCAAACCTCAGCCAGAGAGAGAAAAACTGTGGCAATTGTATTAGTTTTTCTCTGATCTTTCCTATTTGAATAGAACAAGACCCATTTGAAAGTACAGTTATTTTGGACTTTTAGTTGTTAATGTTGTTAATGTTGGTCCCCTTCATTCATCTCTAATGTATCTATGTACTGTAGGCCTACCTGTTTTAAACCACAGTGAAAACTGTTTTCACTTTATAAATGTCTTAATATATATAAGTATAATTTGCTTTGCTCTGTGTTAGTAGTTGTTCGTGCCTTAATTATTGCTCTTCATTCTGATGCTCTATCTTTACAAATGTTTTCAAATAGTTTTGAAAATGACTAACACCTGTGCAAAAACTATGAGTTTAAAATATTGTATTCGCTTACTCTGAAATATACAGCTTAAGTGCACATGCTTACGGACTATGTGAAACAAACAAATTGATATGCATATAAACATGTCATGCCTAATAAAGCTATACATTAGCTTGTTTTGTTAACTTCTAACGCAATAAAGGAAGAATTAACACATGAACTGAGCTGACTTGTTACCTTGCTGGTGACCGTTCACTCGACACAAAGCAGTCAATCCGCCGACAGCAGCCTTTATGATGGAAAACATGATATTACCCTTTGAATGGGCTCTATAAACACTAAACTGTCACTGTGTGTGGTCGATATAAGAGCATTATAAGGTGTTAACTCATTAAAGCATTGTTAACATCACGCTCTGTACAAGGTCGCTGCCATTGCTGTGATGCTTCTTCTTCTTCGGTTTCAATGCAACCAATGTCTTAGTTGCATGTCGCCACCTGCTGTACGGAGTGTGTAACATGTCTTTATGATAACTAAATTAAAACAAAACCAACAAATATCAAAAACACTAAAATACAAATACAATAGGGGTGACCTACTTGTTCAGCCTAGTATTACACATCTGCTTTGATATGGAGTTACATGACACAGGAAAAAAACCTTTGGATAGAGAATGCTGAATTTTCAATAAAATATTCATATAAAATGTAAAAGACATAAAGGAATGTCGTCCAGTGCAGTATTACAATGATGCATTTATTTATATGGAATCACTTAGTCACATGATACAATGAAGCTATTGTAAAAACAAGACTTCTATATTGGAGTTTCAATGAAATGTTCAAATACAACTGAAAATAACCCCCACTTATGTCCAATTAAAAGATCTGTGTCCTACTATTCCAGTGTTGAAACACAATGCTGCATTAATTCAGATTCTCTTGGTCAAATGAAAAACAACCTATTGAAGAAAACAATACTTTAAAAATCACGTCTACACACTAGGGGAATCATTTTTAGGTGTGAAATTGAAACACCATAAGTTGATGTACAGTTTCATGTTTATTAAAATGGGACGGATTTACAGTTTGTACACTCCATCCACACTCGGCATTGATTTAGAAAGCAACAAGTACAAATGCAGTATATACATACAAGTATACATATATTTATAAAATACAATAGTATTTTTTCACACAACAGTTTTTTCTTTTAATTATTTGATGTCATGGTTAGGATGCTTTTTGAGCAAGCTACACTGGCATTGTCCGGATAGAAGGATGCTGTGCATAAGCTGTGAGTTGCTGTCAAAGAAAGTGAGTCAAGCCAAAAAAGAATTACAATACTTAGATCTCCATGTTAGAAAAATAGTCCCATGAGTGCACAAAGTTCCCTCAAAGAAATGTGTTGCAATTACAAGAGGCTAGAATCAATAGCACAGGCAGCAGTGAAACAAGAAATACCTGTAAATTAATTCAAATATAAAAGACGTGCTTGTGTTCTTCTGGCCTTTGCTTCTATTGAAAACTTGTTTAAGCAATGTATAACAATCGGGGTTCATGGAGACTTGTTTCTGGAAGTACCAATATTCTCTTTTTCAGAACAAATTTGAATGAAACCCTTGTATAAAGTGTGTAGTGAGTAAGGATTCCTTTTCACATACGACTGTCAATATTGCTATTTTAATAACTGTGTTTTTGCCAGGGTTGTAAACCTCTCGTTATAAGCAATTCCATGCAGCCTGAGATCATTTAATATAAACCCTTTGCAAATGAGTAGAGATGTAGCAAGATGTTGTCGTTGCATCAAAGCCATGTTTTGTGTTTTCTTAGTTTTCAAACATAAGTAAGTGAATCCATTTTGCATTGCAAAATAATGTATTATGAGACAGCAGTTTCATTTAGTCATCCTCGCCCTTTGTTAGGATTGTGGTAGAAATGCATCCTTATCCATATCACCTGCTATACACGATACTTGTAATCACTGATTGGACCAACAGGGGTTGTGGTAATAGATTGTGATCTGAAGTAGAATAATAAAATATGGATCAGGTTTGGAGCATTTGTTCCAAACAGCTAAATATATTTCTCGTGTTTTGTTTCACTCTTATAAAAAGCACATTCAGGGCATATTGAGTAATGATAAAGAATACCATTAAGTCATTTCCATTAGGTTCCACCTGTAACTCATTTGATTTAAACACATAACTGCCTTCTTGGGTTCAAATACTTGTTTACGGGCTAAATAAAAACTGTACATCTCTTACATCACAATATGTAAGCAGTTAACATATCTTATTAGCCCACAGGTAGTAATAAAGTAGATTCATTACAACGATCTCACATTATACAAATGTAAATGTTTGGAACAAATGACCTCCCAGCCCTTTCCTGAAGAGAAGTCAGAATAACAGATATCTTGAATTGGACTTTCTAATTATTATTACATTTCGCCTCTGGTTGACATTTGTTTTGTGGTTGACAGGATTTAAAATGAACTATCTTTATCACTTAGTATATGAGCCAATCAAACACAATATATCTACGGTATGAAAGCAGGCGAGTGGTTAATATCCCTCTTGATTTATTTCATTTGTAACTTCAAAATAGACAAAATGTATGAAGCTTGATTTCACATGATTAGATGATATTTTTCCTACCTACTGACATATTATTGGTAAAGATGTTTTGGTTGGCATAAGCGGTCTGTTCTGAGGGTCCTTGAAGCAGTTTGACTGATGATTTCACGTAGTGTAGATTTCACTGTTGTTGCTCCACACACGACAAAAGGTTGAAAACCAAAAGTCCCCGGATCAAACTGTTGAACTGAAACACTGTGAGTCCAACATCCAGGGGGAAATGAAGCAGCAGGGAGACCAGATCACAGAGAGTAAAAGACGGCCAGAGACTGTTTGCATCAGCACTAAAGGTTGTAGTATTTGACATTAAAACCTAACGATGCAATGTGCAAGTTAGGACAATATTAACACAATACCCATATGAGGGGATTAGACCACAACTGTAAGAGTGGTAATAATATGCATGCTTCAGAAATATTTGTAACAGGTTTCAAATATTGTGTGTTCTGTAGTTCACCGGGACCGCCCTGAAGTCCACGGATAAGCACGGAGGCCCCTCTTTAATAAGTGGATTATTGGGTGCTGTTGTTTCTAACTTCAGAAAGTGTGGTACAATTGCAGCACGGGAATAAATAGAAGAAATCATCGGTTTCTCCCTTGCACTCTCACACACAGCTTTGTTTGTGTTTCTCATCATGTTCTGTGCTTTTGTTATCCCCCACAGTCCTCAGCACGTCCTGCTTTAGTGCCTCCGATCACAGTCACATGGTAGCTTACAGGGTCAAGTCTCACGTGTGGTTACTGCTATTAGTTAACTGTCTCTTAGTGGGAGAATCTCTTACTCTCTGGGCGACACAGTGTGTGTGGACAGGCGCTCCACCTGGCAGACACACCACGTCGGGCTCGCTGAAGGTGTTGTGGCACAGGTGGCATCCTTTCTTCTCAGACACAAAGATCGGTTTCTTCCGGTCTTTCAACTGAGGAGAAAGAAACACGAGGGCAGTGTTACAATGACTTAAAGCAGGAATGAGCATAGAGTATATTCTTTTCAATGGTTGGCATTTTTGGGGGGGACCATGAGTAAAACCCTTAAAATAATAATAAATATAAAAAAGGCAGACGCATGTTCTGTCAATCCTTAAATATGCAGCTTTTCTTTAGTTGTTTATTTATAATTTTTTTGTTGACTCAGGATTGATAAATGAGTTATTCGTATTGTGACAACAAAACATTAACTAAATAAATAACCAAAAGCCTGTAAAACATCCCATTTCAAAAGTAGGATTAAGTATTTGACTGAGTTGAATGTTTTTGGGTATTGTCATGTGTTCCTCACCCTGTCGTGGAGCAGTTGGAGGTTTTCGGACTGGGCGAGCCCCACGGCGATCTGCGCGGTGCGGCCGGCGTGCATGCTGGACCTGACGGCTCGGCCCAGGAAGGGCCGCAGCAGCTGCAGGGACCAGCCCTCAGGGAGCATGCGCAGCACACGGACTGCATCGAACACCTCGCCATGACGATTCAGGAGATCCACTGCCGCCATCTCCAGCTCTCCACCCCCTGCTGCTGCTGCTGCCGCCTGGGACTTTCCAGGAAGGTTCCGGTCTAGATACACCTCCAGGAGCAGGTGAAACAGCTGCTGTTGGTATGCAGAATCCCGACAAGAAGAGGCCCAGACGCAGAAGGCCTCAGCGGACGAGAAGTCTTTGAGCTTGTGCACCAATATGTGCAGAGCTTTGTCATTCTCCTCCAGCTTACCATGTAGTGTTGCACGCTCCAGCAGCAGCTGTTCACAGTTCTCCATCTTACCTAAACAGAGCAGGAGGAAATGAAACATTAACAAAACCTGCATGTGAACTCTCGTTGAGACCTACTGTATCACATCTTTCTATAAATGATTTTCCACCTTTCCACCTGGAAGCAGCACTAAGCCTGCATAGCATTTCTGATTCCACAACTGTCAAACTATATGTGTTATAGCTTTGTCATTCTCAAGCTGAACATCCTCACATTACGTCAAGCTTTACACAAAAAGAGAGAGATCCATCATAGTGTTAAAATATGTCCGTGTTGTGGCATCTTCCGAGCTGTGGCTCACCTAGAAGGAACTGTGCCCGGTAAAGGTTGGACTCCCTGAGCAGAGCCTGGAGCCGCTCTCTCGCTCTGGTGAGGCGCTCTTCCTCTGCTGGCGCCTCCGACAGCAGAGACAGAACGCTCTCCAGGTACAACACGGCCAGGTGAGTGTGGAACTTCTCTTTCTGCAGACACAAACATGAGAGAAAACTATCGGAGTTCAATAGGAAAGCAGATGCACTTAAAAATAAAAACAATTTTCACATAATATTCAGATAAAACCTTGATTAAGAGCGTTTTCTAATAAGCTTATTTGAAAGACAATGAAAGATGGGCTCAAAAGTGCAGCATTACATACAACTTGAATCCTCACAATCGTATGCCTTCGCCAACCAATCAGGTTGCAGTTTACATCCATGTCTGTCCAAAATGTCATCATGTTTTATTATATTAGATATTTGTGGGAGATTGTCATAATTAGCATTCAAATTAACGAGTAATGACCTAAACTTGTTTTTGAGGACATATTGACCTTTGACCACGAGTTTCTTATCCATCCATCTTTGAGCCCAAGAGGGCATTTGTGGTCAATTTGAAGAGATTCCCCCAAGGCTTTGCTGACGCATTAAATCGATAAGAATAGGAAAGACTGACTAAACAAAAAAAAGCCCATTGTTGGGGGCAGTGCGAGGCCTAAAAAGAAAAAACTATGTTTGGACATTAACAGGATCCACCTTTGTAACCATCAATAAATCAGGAAACATTTTTAAATTAAGTTTTAAAAGCACATACAAAAATTCCTCCTTCCAGTACTAATGTGTCGCAGTACTGCAGTGATGAGCCAGGTAGAAATGAATGATGTACATGCTCTTTACCGAATTGTAAGTCAAGGGAAAGTGAGCCACTGTGTCATGTGACAAGCTTCATATTTAGAATGTGGTCAAGAGAGAGTCTGTTTCACTTCATGTACATATCCGTAATAATAATGCAAGTCAGTACTTTGGAGGAGTGCTACTGCTTGGGAATTCATCTAATGCTGCTTGCTAGCCTGCAGAAAGCCTCATTTGGATCAGCATCGCTTGCACATATTTTGTGTATATTGCTCAAGGAGAAAGCCAACCACTTGTTGACACGTGATCTACGATGTATCCTAGGATCTAGGATCTGTTTGTAATCATTTGGAATGTACCTTTATCTTTCTCTCCAGCACCAGGTGTTCCAGGAAGAGAAGCAGCGCCTGGCTGTGCTTCCCCAGATATCTGATGGCATCCTCAGGGTTCAGCTCCGTCACATCCTTACTGACAGGCCTCTTAGTGAAGATGTGGACACCTATCTGTGAACACAAACGAAGGTTAGAAATAACCAGGCGTGAAGGAGAAAGCATGCAGAATACGACCGATACAAGTATTGTATTACAAACATTTGGAAGTGTATCTATACAATCCACACATAAATGGAGTTGTATATCGGTACCAGCGACGTGCAGTCAGGGGAGGCAGGGGAGCCAGAGCCTCACCTGACATACTCCAATGTGACGGAAAAAAACTAAACAAAATAATAATAATAAAATGTCTCCACTGATCTGCGTTGTAAACGGGATTTCTGTATGATTCCAATCGCTTTTTAGTCAAAATCGGCAAATTTGCCGAGTTCCGCTACAACTACATGGGAGCGATGAGAAGTGAGGCAGGGACGAGCTCTGCCTCACGTAACCCCACAGACACTGGCTGGAGCGCGGGCACTAATTTAGCTCAAATATGAGATGGTAACAGGCATGCGCTTAGTGCCTGCGCTCCATCCAGTTACTGTGGGGTGAGGTGAGGCACAGATGAGATCTGCCTCACCTCAGATGCGTCACCCCACAGAAACTGGCTGGAAAGCGGGCACTAAGCTCATGCCTGTTACCATCTCACTGTAGGTCACCAATGTAATGTTTGTAGATCCCCTTATTACATTATCCTCGCCATCCATAGTCTCTAAATAACTTATTTCACGTATATATGATATTTAGGCTCGCTGGTCTCATCATATAACGGCAATGAAAAGCACCAGGGGAGGCAGCCATAACCTCTGCCGCACTGAAGGGGGCGCACGTGAGTCCACAGGTTCTTGTTGCTACTGTTATTCTAGCAGAGACGGGAGACACAAACAACAAACTACACTTTTGAAACTAGAGGAAGATAAGGAGGACTTTTACCAAAAAGATCTTTGTCTAGAAGGATAGGCAAATGGACTTCATCTTCAAGTCAAGGTAAGACCAAAATTGTATTGAAAATTGGATCTTACTAAGAGAGAACAATCCAATATTTAAATGAAACAAAAAATGTTGGGTATCCTTTTGTTGAACGGCCTGTTTAAAATGAATCGAAGCATCAGACTAAAAAAGCTTTTGAAAATAACAGAATATTCCGATTATTGTCAAAATATAATATTTGTAAATCTGACTCTGAAAGAGTCAGTGCCTCACCAGCCATGAACCTCACCGCACGTCACTGATCGGTACATATAAGGGTGCTAAATGAGAACTCCTTGTTTTTTGTAAGGAACTGAAAAAAACAAAAACTGATCACATCTCTGCTGCCCTCCTGACTCCATTGTTTTGCATTTGAATAATGTGGACAATGGAGAAATTACATTTTTAAAATGAATAATAGAATGATCCTTGAGGTCCTCTAAAGTCCTGGTGACGTACCGTGGGATCTTTAGCCAAGGCCCAGTCTGCATACTTCCACACGAGGTCCGGGTTGGAGCAGGAGCAGAGGAAGTCCACGATGTACTCATAGAGGCCGGACCTGGTGGAGTCCTGCAGATCCCCGTCTACAACGCGGATCCACAGCTGTCAGAAAAGAAGAGGGGATTCCTTAAATATCTACAAAATGGTGGTGCTGATTCCTTCAGAAGACTCATTTTAGGTGCACATACCTGAAGTGCTGCAGAATCCTGACTATTATAATGATAGAGAAGCCCAAGTGCAAAATATCTACAAGAGGAAGAAAGACAGTGAGTATAGCAAAGGCTGTTTCTGTACAACATATGAAATTAGCTGGACTAAACTGGATACAGTTGTAAATGGGATGGTTCAATATCAAATCATTACATTGTCTTTACCTTAAGGGCTATTTATCCATCTAAAATGTGTTGAGTGACTGCTGAATATATAGTTATGATATTTGATTGCTGTTTCAGATGAATTGTAATTATATGAGCCCATCGACACATGTGAAGGGCCTAAACTGATTGAAATGTCTGCGTTATAATACAGGCATTTCCTTTGCGTTTTGAAAGAAATTACACAAACTTATCTTAAAAGTAAGAGCTCGAAACCAAAATGATTGGATACACACTTGTGATATTTCTCCAGCCACGGGACGCTGTCTGCTAGCAGGCAGGCGTTGTCTGAAGCTAGCAGGTCAAGGAGGCTGTCGTGGTCCTGTTCAGCGTACAGCTTCAGCAGAGCCGTGTCCACGTCCTCTCTGCAGCCATTGGCCACCTCTGTGCTTCGTACCTGTGTTCGGAGAGAAGAAGAAACAATGGGTACGGATGTAGTAATACATGGACGACTGAGACGTGAACTCTCTCCATTATAACATGCATATAAATCTTTTTGTATCGTTCCATTTACCTCTCCCAAATAACTGATGAGGAATTTCTTGCATCGCAGCACTTTCTCCTGGTCGCCCTGCGCCAGGTGGTTCAGGTCTGCAAACTCGTGAAGAGGAGGGTGGCAGCGTGTGAAGGAAGAGGAAGCTGGCAGCAGGAGAGGGTAGAGAGAGATCAGCTCCCGAACGTCCAGCTGACCCTTCCTGAGAATATTAGTGAAACAATCAATCAAGGATTAAATCTAAAAGCAGGGAACTACAGGAACTAGAACGCAGTAATAGAAGGAAGATCATTCCTCGTAGCTGCACAATCTTTAATATCTGTTGTGATAGAAAAGGATATTTCAATGAGTATTTGATATCACTTAAAATAAACACTAACGCATTTTAATGGTTGAAATAACTTAAGGATATTTTTCAGGAAAACATTGGACCTAAATGGTTCTTGAGTTGTCACAACAGAGCAGTTTAAGAAACAGTCTGACTCTCACCTGAAGTGTTCCTTTGCTTCCAGAAACTGAAGCTGGCCAAACTGTATGAACCCTGCCTGCTGGAGGATCCTTTTGTGCAAAATCTGTAGAAAGTGATAATATATGAGACAATCGTTTTTTTACTTTAAAAAATATGGTCAATAATGTAACAGTTTACATTGAAGGTCACAGTCCAGGCAATGCTATCATATTATCATTCATTTCTTGTAATATCAAAATCATGGAAGGGCATTTGAATCACACATAAGAACATTTCAGCCATAGATTCAAAGCAACACAGTTGGTTACCTGGAACTTGTCTTTGGGGATATTTTGCTGTGCTCCTTCTGTGAGGATGAGCGCCTCCTCCACTCTGTGACTGGCCAGTAGGTCCTGGATCTGTCTCTCAAGAGGCAGCGGGACCAGCACGTACACGGCCTTAGTGGATGCCAGAATGACCTTTCCTAAAACAAACAACACCCACAGGTCAAAACTTCCACACTCTCAAACCAACAGCTACTGATAAGCACTATGACATCACACCAATTGGCTTGTTTAAATAAACCCAACACACTCCATTTGATTTTTAATCCCATAGCTCTTAAACTTATTTAGCTCTGGAAAGAGCCAGCTTCAGTTAAATGTGGGTTGTTGATAGGGCTGCTCAATTAATCGTATTTTAATCGCGATTACGATTATGGTTTGCAACGATTACGAAAACAACGTAATCTAAATAAAACGATTATTTTTTTATTATTACTTTTTTTTTTTTTTTTTTTTTCAGTTGAATTATACTTAAAGTTCAGGGTAATCAACTGTTAAAAACATACTGTTCAAAACTAATTTCTCCGAATAATCGCATTTAATAATCGCAATTACAATTATTGACCCAAATAATCGAGATAATGATTTTTGCCATAATCGAGCAGCCCTAGACTTGTTGAAAGGAAATATTCTATGTAATGGAATCAAGACAGCACTGCACACACAGCTCTATCCAGCTAAGCTGTGACACTTTCCATCCCAGGTCTATTTAATAACAGAGGCTATTTTCCAATTTCAAACGATGAAGCATTTGACAATCAAAGTCCAAATGTACCTCCATTCTCTATAATCAATATGTGATGGACAAATCAGAATAAAAAATGAATTGCCTCTAGAGTGAGCGGTGACAAGTCTGACAAATTGCTTCAAGTGATGTCACTCAAGTATAAACAAAATAAACAACATTCTGGATGAATGGAGTTAGAAAGAAGTGAGACCTGTGTTGGTGCTCCTAATCTCTGCCTGACCTACATTAGCAGCTACTAGCATAAAACACCCACGTCTCCGAATGAAGATAATTGGTCGAGTTTTCCTTTAAAACCATGTATATAGTTTGTTTGATTAGACAACGTAGGTGTCCAATATGTGAGGATACCTTCAAAGTCCTGCAGAATGTGTCCATCCCTGAAGGAAAGGGTTTGTTTTAGTTGTTGGTCCAGCATGCTGTGGATTGTGATGAAGCTTTCATCCAAAGCCACCACGTACGGAAAACTCACGGCAGCACCAATCACGCTCTCCGACCAGTTGACTGGAGCTCGCTGAGATACTCCTTCTGCATTGGCAAACATCCCTGGGAAAGGATTCAGAGAAACAGTTTGAGAAACAACAGGGAAAGGTCATGCAAACACTTGTTTTGAAGTTAAAAATAAATCATTTTCAAAACAATTTACCAGCAGTTGCAAACAGGCTGGGACAATTTTGGAACTGTTAGATGCAACGATTGAGTAGACTGTTAAAAATGGGTACATCAAATGTATGAAAAACTGCCAATGATTTGATTTATGTTTTATTTTAAAACCTGGTGATTCAAGACTCATCAGTTTGTTCTGCCTTTGTGAAACCCTTTGTAACTGGGATTTAAAAAGATGTGATTGTATTAATATCACAGTCATACAGGTCGAAGGATGATGGAAAACCAGTAAAGAAAGTAAGACTTACAACTGATTTTTAAGCACACAAATGTATGGACATTCAGATTGTTGTTGGTACTTCCTTGTTATGAAAATAAGTGTTCTATTTATAATTATCTTAAAAATGGTATGCTAAAATTCCAAGCACTATTCACTGTCGTCTCACTTGTTGTTTATAGCTTCTCTACAAAAACGCAATGCAGCAAATATTTACAACCTTTGTAAATTATGTTTGGTAATAACATCAAAGCCTTTTCCTCTGAGGGGACTGAATTAATCCTTTAAAAAGACCTTTTCTTGTGCTGACTCACCCAGACCACCTGGTGCTGCTAAGAGGAACTCCTCCCTTCCGATCCTCTTCACAATGGGTCTCCTGTCCTCGCTGTTGTAAGGGAAGAGGTCTTGGGAGGCTCCTGTGTTGTAGTTCAGAATCATGTACTGTGTAGCGAGGGCCAGGCACAGGAAGTGACCGTCCACACTGACAGCACAGGGCTGCTCAGGGGTAGTCACCTCTTTGACCAGCTGCACTCTGTCCTCATACACCATGTAAATCTGCACCGTCCGTTTCTTGGAGGAGATCACACCCATTTCCACACAGAATGGATCCCCGTTCACCGGGTTCTCGTTAACGCAGAACGCTGTCACTCCTCTGATCTTGGCTCCGCCTCCTGCTGCCGACGGCACGGTCTCCAGTGTCACCATGTCGACTAGGAACACAATCCCATCGCAGAGCACAATCAGACGCTCCAAGGCGGAGGCGGCACGCAGCTCAGCAACGGGTTTCTTGAGGCCTAGATATTTGTGCAGCAGCTTCTGCGCCGAGTAGGTCAGTTTCCCTTTGGAGGAAGTGACCTCGTCCAGCAGGAAGTGGTGGATGAAGCAGTCGTTGGTGCCCATGTACAAGTGCTTTCCACAGCATTCGATGCACTCAATGTTGATGCGAGCCTTGTCCCCCATGAGGAGATCTCTCTCCACAGCGGGGACAAGCTCAAACGCCTTCACACTCATCTCAGTCACGGCATCTACACTGGAAGACACAAAAGAGACAGGCTTCAACACAACAGAGTTATTAAATAATCTAAATGATACTGCAAAACGTCAAAAAATAAATCACTGGCTAAATATTACTGTTTACAAATAGGACTGCAGCAAGGGTGTGTCCCTCACTCACAACAAACTGCATGTCTTCTACTTGAAGACAGAAAAGGGCTTTTGTATATTGTGTCAAACATTTCTTACAATGTTTTGGTATTTTAAAGATCTAACAAGTTATTGACTAAATTAAAAAATGCAAATAGCAGTGCTGCCTTCTATAACCTTTACAGACAATCTGGCACTGAGCCTTTGGCTGTGGTGTGATGATTATTATAGATATGAATACATGTTTTAAAAGTAGGACTTTGGCAATGCTTATTAGTCTTTGTTGAGAACTTAACATCCACATATTAAAGTGTTTTGTGTTTAATATGTTTATAGCTGATGTTCTTCTGACACATGTGAAAATATATATCTGCTTGTTTTCTGTTTTGCTCTTCCTTGCCTGCAATGCAAGTAGAGGGCTGGGCTTTGGGGTGTGATACTTGAATATTACAAATACTTCTTAAGGCTTACCCCCATTTTCATAAATATTGTGTGTTATGTTCATTTTACAAGAGTATTTCCTTAGACATAATTGTTAAAGGTATCTGTAATGTATGTCATTTTTATGGTAACAAGCTCCTTTACTACCATTGTATAGCTAACTCACCTCCTTACAAAAATATTCTATTATATCTTAAATATAAGTCAGTCATCTTTCCAAGCCAGTTCTTTAAAAAAAAAATTAGCTAACACACTTTTTCTCATGTAACGTAAGGTTGCTGGAGTGGTGACAGCAGCTAATATTGTTAACGCTATCTAGCGACAAATCCATGGAGGATAACGACAGTAGCAAAACACAAAGTTCAATGTTTAGCACTGGCTGTCTGTGGGAAGAGTGTTTGGTTTACGTTTGGGAGAGTTAACTTAAACATGTGAAGAAGACTTGGTCGTATAGGTATTATTTTAGATTTCTGTACGAGCTAGCTAGGCTAACGTTAGCTTATATAGACCAGTGATTTCAATGCTAGCTGGCTAATTAACACTTAGCACATCTATATGTTGTATGTGGCTAAAGGAGGGGCTTTCATAATGTGTCTCATTGGGTGACTGTCCAAAGAAAAAGCTCCCGAGATTAGTTTCCTCCCTGGAAAAGGTGATCCCTCCCTAGTTCCTGTTAGCATACCTACCGCTACAGACAGCGCTCAGGACGGCAGGCCGGATCAACACCAACAGGCTCACCACTCCACAAACAGCCGCACCGACATAAATGTACAGTCAGACATTACTGCCATGGTGCTTGGGTCGGCACCGCAGCGACAAAACTTGAAATACAGCTTGAATTGGGAGCGTTCAGGTCTTCCTTGTCCACTGTAAAACACCGCCCATTTGCACTGAAAGTCCTGCTGGCTGCAGGTGATACAGGGTGCGTTCAAGACCGTGATTCCCTGCTACACAGGGTGCGTTCATGATCGAGAAAAGTTGTTAGATTTCTTAATACTTTTCAAACTGATTTCTCAAATATTTCATATTTAAGTCAATAATATTCAATGAAAGACAGAGGTGGTTATAGATCGATGAAGTGTTAATTTATAATAATAATTATTATTATTATTACATATTTATTTGTATTATTTTTTATAATTTTGCAAGGTATTGTGGGAATTTCCCCAAGAAACCGATTAAACTTTACAATAGTCATAAATTATCTTTTATCATTATGACTAAATGGGATTTACAATTTCTGAGGGTAATTCAAGATAAAAGAGGTGGACTTAAAAGGTACCATGTTTGAATGAATACATTTAGTCAACAAAATAAAATACAGAAACAACATTTCAGTGCACTTTTAACCCTACATTATCGCATAGACTGATATATCCTATACTCCCCTTCAACATTGACTGTCCTGGTTTCAGCAGTGTTTTAGAGGAACTATTGAAATGTAAAATGTGCATGTACATATTAATATCAATGTACATATTGATTCATCACTAAACATTTTCCAGTAATATTAATCAGGCGGCGGCCTATGTAAGAAATGAAATAAGTAGTCCATAAATCATATTATATCAATCGATAGAAAATAAATGGTCAACTATATTAATAATTGTTTCATGTTTATTCACATCTGTAAACATAAGCTTAAAGTTGAGCTTGTTGCATGATTCTTCGGTATGTCAATTAAATGTAATCAGTGATAAGTCGAAGAAATATTTATGAAACTTAATCATATTAAATATGTAACAACAATAATAATACTAATACTGTGACTTGTGTAACTTTACCTTAAATACTCTATATTGCTCGGTATAAATTAATTTAGATGTTTTTAATGTTTGAGCTCTCCAACAAACTGGAAGAAAAAAAATGACAGTGAAAGGTCAAACTGTCACTGAACGCACCTCGGCCGCTTTTCACCCAGGATGCACCTGTCCAACTGAACTGTCTGAGAAAAGCCATTTTGTTGTGCTAGCTAGCTAACGCTATGTGGTTAAAGAAAGCCACTAAAAATATGGGTCTGTTACCTCAACGCTAACTCTCGTTTTTCCTTGTTTCTTTACCGGCGCAGTGATATACCTCTGTAAGTAGGCAGCACTGGCATGGACTAACGTTATTCGGAAAACAAGCTGAAGTGTTCAGAAGAAGACGGTAGCTGGTAGCTAAAGTGTGCTGCAGTTTCAGATAACACACTGTTAGCTAACATTAGATATCTGTTTACTTCACCTACGGTAGTTATGGTTTTTTTTCTGATTGATTTACGTTGGTCAGTGTGTGGGTGTTTGTAAATGTTTTTTTAAATACACTTTGGCTGCCCACCAAAGACAACTGGTTCAACAAAGAGTCTGTGACAGTGAGTAATAAACAGGCGACTGGACTATCAAACAGTAACTAAGAAAGAAAATAAGCATACAGCGTTGAACCCTCACGCTAATCTGATAATGGCAGAGGACACCCGACAGGACAAGAGGGCCAGCTTCTCAGCCCTGACGGAGCATAACACCAACGGGATGGCCCGGAGCTCCGCCGTGGCCTCCAGCAAGAGTGGCGCTTCAAAGAAATTAGTGATCAAGAATTTCAAAGGTACTGTCCCTGGTCGTTTTCACCTTCTTTACCTAACAGCGTCACTTCATATCTTTTATAATACTGAGCGTGTAACTTTTAGATGATGCTGTCAAAAAAAGTTGGGTACATATTGTTTTTTTTTTACCCAAAATGGTCTGATTAGAGCAATTTCAAAAAATTCCCAAATTGGGATCAGTAAAGTACCATCTTATCTTATGTCCGATTTTAATAGGCTTTGATTTTGTAACCACACATGCACACATCTCCTAGTTATTTTTTTTTTCTCGATTCATTTTTTTATTTGGCGTCACAACTTCTGTTTGTCCCATCAGATTTTAGCACGCATTGATTGTAGTAGACTTATTCAGTTATTAATAATATAATAAATAAGACTATGATAATGTGATGTTTTATTTTTTTAATAACTTTTATATTGTATAATAACAAATACATACACATGTACCTCTTACAATGACTGTGCATCTTTTTGGCTGCTATTGATAGATTAAATAGTAATTTTGTGCAATCATTTGACAACTTGTGATAGGATGCCATTATTATTGTTTTTGTTTATCAACTAATAATTGTGACAGAGCTTTATAGCTAACAAACACTTGCTTTCAATACAGGCAGCCAAGCATTTATTTAGGAATACATATGTGCAAACTTCTACTGAACAAAGTATATCCAACTTATGTACTATTTATTAAACAAAAAGTCACAACATTTATGTTCTCACCTGGTCCACAGTATGTGGTGTAGGCCTTGGTTTATTGTCCGTTATTATCCCAAAAATGACAATTAAAAACACATTTAAACCTGCAACTTATCATGTATCGGTTAAACACGTGAAACCATGTTTTAAGATGCAAAATATATTTTTTATTTTCATTATATGCTTCCTTGTATCTTCTTTGGCAATATCTCATTTGTATTCATTGACATTGTTGCTTTTTTCTCTCCAACAGACAGGCCAAAGTTAGCCGAGAACTACACCGAGGATACATGGCTGAAGCTACGAGATGCAGTGGGAGCCATCCAGAACAGCACCTCTATCAAGTACAATCTGGAGGAGCTCTATCAGGTAGCTACAACTACAATTTCTACATATCAAAAGTGGTACTCATCATTTGCAATAAATTACCAAGAATAGCTTTAAATCAAGAAATAATGTGACAAACATTAACTTTTTTTCTGCTCTTGTTTCTCTCCCTTGTCTCTCTTTCTTGAAGGCGGTAGAAAACCTGTGTTCGTATAAAGTCTCCCCCACGCTGTACAAGCAGCTACGGCAAGTGTGTGAAGATCATGTGCAGGCCCAGATCAAACAGTTTAGAGAATATCCTTTTTTTGTGAACAGACACATAACTCACGCCACGTGTTGAAGCTGTGAACACATTTTGAATCATGATGCATTGTGTCACTGAGTCTCTCCTGGCAGTTAGTAAATTATCTCAAAACGTTGGAAATCAAACTGCATTTGGTCTGTTCTCAGCCCTGTTGAATACTGCGCTGCAGAAATGTTCATTTAGTAATCCTCTTCAGATCAAGCAGCCCATGACTCATATAAGAGTACGATGTGATGGTCTAAGGACAGAGGGTGTCGTATTGTCATACTGATATTCTGTACAAACTAACATTTGTGATATTGGGCTATATAAATAAACATTGATTGATTGATTGATTGAAGAGAAGACAGTTGGACCAGCCTTTACTTACTGCAGCGATTTAAGCCAAAATGCAGTGCTAATATTTATTACAAACTTGTAGCTTTATTTGTACATGTATATGAGATTTAACAGATGGCTTTCAACTTAATTTAGAAAGTGTTGGCCCTCCTGTTACACCTCAGGTGTTGTTGCAGTCTTTTCTCACAAGAGGTCAACATACAACAAGTTTGACAGCTTTCTAATCCTAAACAAAAGGGCTGTTTGTCTGTTATAGGCAAAGCAATTACAGGACCGTTTTAATTAATGTAATCATATTTCATTTCCAAAAAGAACAGTTTTTAGACTGTATTTAGGTGGACTTGATTTATGCCCCCCCCCCCCTCTAATAAGACCTACAGAATGTTCAGTAAAGAGTAAACAGATTGCTTTTACCTAACTTGAACCCCAAATCTTTTTGAGCAAATAAGTGAGATAAATGGTTTATGTCATGCTTGCTAACAGAAGGATACTTTGAACATGTGTGAAGGTTTTCCCTTAACATGGAGCTCACAGAGTCTTTGGACAACCTTTCCTTCCTGAAGCGAATTAATCGCTGCTGGCAGGATCACTGCAGGCAAACTGTAAGTGGGATGTTTGACAAACATGCAAATCAAAATCAAAACTGTTTGAGTAAGAAAGTTTCCTTTCAGACTTTTGTTGTTTTTCTCTTTTATAGATAATGATCCGAAGTATCTTTCTCTTCCTGGACCGTACCTATGTGCTGCAGAACTCCCTACTGCCCTCCATCTGGTAAAGCTACAGTTTATGCAAACATGCTTTCTTTATTCTGTCTGTCAAGTTGTATCAGGAGGCTAATGCTATGATTCCTACCATGCAGGGACACTGGGTTGGAGCTGTTTCGTACCCACATTGTGAGTGACAGCGGGGTTCAGAAACGGACAGTAGACGGCATCTTGGAGCAGATAGAACTGGAGCGGAACGGAGAGACAGTCGACCGGAGTCTGATCAGGAGTCTGCTGGGCATGCTGTCAGACCTGCAGGTACCTAAGCCCCTGGTTCATTACTAACAAACTAGTTGACTTGAGTTTATGTCATTGTTTTTACACCCAGAAACCTTCTATCTTTTGTTCAGGTTTACAAAGATTCCTTTGAGGAGAGGTTTTTGATCGATACCAATCGTCTGTACGCTGCAGAGGGACAGCGGCTGATGCAGCAGAGAGATGTGAGTGGGAGGATTCCTGGATATTTGATGTATTGATCACTAATCCGTCACACACTTGATGCCATCACATGCAACTGCTCTGAACCTTCATGTCCATGTGTCCAGGTGCCTGAGTACCTGCACCACGTGGCTCGTCGGCTGGAGGAGGAGAACGATCGAATCATGAGCTACCTCGACCAGAGCACTCAGTAATTTGTTTTTAAATATTTAACTCTCGAAAATCTGAATTCCATAATTAACACTTTTTAATACAAAACAACAACGCATGTGCATACCAAGAGAAACGCATAGAGAGAACATAAATAACCATTCATTATAATTTCTTCCCAGACATGAACACAGGGTAAACCTATAATACAATACCATTAGGGGCCTCTGTAAATAGATAAATAAGTGCCTGGGGTTTTTAAATGTACTTTTTGTAGACAAATGGTTCATTATAGTGTCAGGTGTTTGCTTACATTTCTAG